ATATATATATATATATATATATATATATATATATATATATATATATATATATATATATATATATATATATATATATATATATATATATATATATATATATATATATATATATATATATATATATATATATATATATATATATATATATATATATATATATATATATAACCTAATAAATTCCAAACACCATTACTCTCTCTGTCCCTCATTATATGTATTTTTGGGGTGTTATTTTGTCTCAAATTATTTGTCATTTTAGAGTTTCAATAAAATATTAATTGATTTTTTTTATCAATTTTGCCCCTTAACACTCTTACTTAGTTAATTAAAAATAATTAATGACAAGGGTATTTTAGTATTTACTATGTTATATTTCGTATGATTTATGCACATTTATTGAAAATTTTAATATACGCGCAACCACCCAAAACGACATATAATATGGAACAAATTGAGTAATTTTTTTTAGTACATACATATGTCATAAAGTCAAAATGACATTTAATTTAAAACGGATAGAGTAGCTACAAGTGATCGTGTAGACTGTATGAAGTCAATTAACAATAATTGGACTTCAATTTTGGACCTAACATTCATCTAATTTCACTAAGTAGAGTCATTGTAATTTGTAATGAGTAGGTTTTATACTTTGGGAAATGGAGAAATTTAAATGAAATTAATTTCCAAACAAAAGTGGAAATAGACAGGTTGTCCAAAATAAATAGGTAAGAAAATTAAGTTCAATAAAACAGGAGTAATAATTTGAGGTTCTAGAAGTCATAGTAGTAGCATGAGAACATACAAACTATTCCCTCCGTTTCTAATTAATTGAAGTTTTTCAGATTTGCACACGTATTAAAAACTTCTTCTTTTTTTCTTTTTTTTTTTGACGAGAAACGGTCAAATTTTATTAAGCGAAGCTCCCTCACCAACCAACATGTCCAAAATACGAAACAAAAGTCATATTGAATTGGAATTTGAATATCGTATGCAATCCGATTTCGATCGGAAAAAAAATAAAGGGTTTGTCTACTCATTTAAGATTCATATAAATTTACGTGAATTACGTTGGTCAAAAGACTTTAACCTATAACAATTTAATCCAAGTACTAAACTAATGAACAACCGTTGAGAAGTACAAATTCGAAATTAAAATCAACAACGTACGTAAGAGTACAGAAATCCCGCAACAGCTCTGGCGGTTGCGACACTTTATAATAATCAAACTCAGCTCATATAATATTTTCGGAATCACCTAATTCAAAGTGCACAATATACTTTTTCACTACCACAGCCGGAAACTACTAACATGCAAATTATTGCTTGTGAAGCTCTCAAATTGTTGTAGTTCTTTCTTATAATTCACCATAATTCGAACAAAAAGACCCTCATTCCCGAGACTCTCTTGCTCCTCGAGTATTTTCACCGCCGAAATAGCCGCAGATTCGCTGCATCTAACCAACTCGATAAATCCAAGCGTCGGTATTTCTCCAATGCCCAAAGGGATCTCCTCCAATTTATTAATTTCCGTAAGCACAAGTTTCTCGAGAACCGGGAAATGACAGCTGTCCGCATTCCAGTGTTTCAAATCAGTAACATAGTAAAGCTCCAAAAATTTCAAACGAAGAAATTCCCCCTCAACCGGGTCCCACTCGGACCCGCTAACCGAATTCACTCCCAAGACGAGACCCTCAAGATATGGCAATGAACCAATCATTGTCAAATCACCCCAATGAAGAGAACAACCTCGTAAAGACAACTTCTTGAGCGAAATCGGAAACGATAAATTCTTGAGCAATAAACTCCGACGCGGAATTACAAGAAACTCGCATTTTAGTGATTCGAGTTTACTTAGTCTGCGGAGATTTTTTGCGCAATACATGGAAGTCCATTCCTTAAAAAGTATTATCTTCAATTTCTTGACATTCGGGATTCTCTTACACACCTCCTCGCTCAAAAACAAATCAATTACTTTCTCGAGTGTCTGCAAGTTTTTCAAAACAACGCGATCATTTTCTTCTTCACCTCTCAAACGAGGAGGATTTGGAAGATCTATATAGTTGAACTGTAGATGCCTAAGCTGCCGCATTTCCCAAAATACCTCCGTTACAATCTCAATGTTTCTTATCTGGTCGACTCTCATGATATCTTCGATAATTATCATCTGCAGATTCCCTAGTAGGGATACCGAAGACGGAAGCTTGCGAGAGAGTTGCGGCATCGCTGAATAGAATACACAAATGCAACGCAAGTAGATCGACTCGAAAATATTGTCTATTGACTCTACACGAACCGCATTGAACACTCTCAACAATGGAGAGTATTTTAATGATGGTTGATCGTGGCCAAAGCTTATAAGAGAACGAGCGAGTGATAATGACGCCATGCGGTACGATGATGTTTCTTTGTGAACTGCAATTCTACGCTCGTCATTTATGCCTTGTGAACTGTCGGAAACGCCCACCACATAAAGAAACTTCTCTTTGTGAGCAGTCTTTAGGCATAAGTCTCTTAAAAGATCGTGGACGTGGCAAGTTTTGATTTTTCCGGTCGACCCAAAAGTACCGACTATAATGAGATTCCTGTCAACGAGATCCTTTAAGTAACCCTCTGCAACCTCTTCCAACGTTTGGGTCTCGTTCGGTTTTATAAATCCCTCGACTACCCAAAGTTTGATTAGTCGGGATACACGAATGACGTGGTCTTCCGGAAAAATTCCCATGTAAAGAAAACACGGTTTTAAATGGACAGGTAAGTGCCTATAACTCAAAGACAATATATCCAAGCTTTGCTCTTCCGAATCCAAAATCGAGTTCATATTTCGCGATAAATTCTCCAAATATTCTTGTGTCTTAGAGGACTTTCTAACAACTGCCCCGATCACAACAATTAACAGAGGAAGTCCTTTACATTTTCCAACAATCCTCTTCGCGATGTCCTCCAATTCAGAAGGGCAACCACCACCTTCTTGTGGAAATGCCTTCTCGCAAAATAGCTTCCAACTTGTATCTTTATCCAGAAATTTCATCGAAAGGTACGAATCCGAGCCAAGATGAGTAGCCATGTTTGACAGCCTAGTAGTTACAACAACTCGACTTCCATTGTTGTTATCGGGAAAGAATCTTTTTATTTTGTCCCAAGCTTCAATACTCCACATGTCATCAAGTACAATCAAATATCTCCGGCCTACTAAACTCTTATACATTCTCTCTCCTAATTGATCTTCTCGGCCCGTCTCACCGGTGGATTTACTTTGACAAGAAAGAAGCTTTGAAAAGATTCCGTTCACACTATACTCTTGAGATATTGCCGCCCAAGCACAAATATCAAAGTGATTCAAAATTAATCGACTTTCGTAAGCATTTCTAGCAAGAGTAGTCTTACCAATCCCTCCCATACCTACAATAGGGATGATCTGCAGACTCGATCGTTGTCCCACGAGCCTTTCCATAAGTTGAATCAACTCGTCATCGAGCCCCGAAGAAACCGCGGCCGCGCTCGTTTCCGCACTAGTAAGCGCCGTTGTTGATGACGTGGCAGCGGAAATTGAGTACGTGGGGCCGGCGGCCGGTTGATGATGATCATGATCTTTGAATGCTCCTCTTTCCTCCTTAAAACTAACAACCTCTTTCGTGACAGAATCCATGTCTTGTATAACTTTCTTTAGATCGAAGAAGCGAATGAATGGCGAGGTTCTTCGTTGGAATCCGTAAATCTCGATTACATCTTCGGCAGCATAGGCTGCAGATGCAATTTGGCTGTCCAACACTTGGTGAGAATGATTAGTCTCTATGAAATCTAGCAAAAAAGCAACCTTATTGGAAAGAGATTCTATCTGATTCTTTGTACGAGAAACGTAAGGGGGAGGATGATATTGGATCTGATCAATAGTATTCATTAGAGAAACAAGAGCTGCATAAGCTGCCATTGTTGTTTGCAAATTGAGTAATGAAGTTTAAATTTTTGCTTGTATTATTATTATTGGGAAGATTACAGTTTTTCATCCCCAAGTTTGCACCAATTTCACATTTGGTCCCTCAAGTTCACAAAAAACATATTTGGTCCCTCGTGTTTGAATAATTTAACACTTTTGGTCATTCTCGTCAATTTACCGTTAGTCGTCGGTTGAAGAAGTGATGAGAACACACATGATTCCGTTGGTACTGACGGAAATGAATAAAGTGTTAAATTTTGAAAACATCAAGGACCAAATGTATTTTTTGTGAACATGAGGGTTCAAATGTGAAATTAGTGCAAAATTGAGGGACGAAAATTATAATTTTCCCGTTGTTATTTTTTTATATTTGGAACAAATTTTTTGCCTGCATTATTGTTTCCACCATTATTGTTTCCACTTTACAGGTACATATCATTTTCATGATTTATGACCTCTAATTCTAAAGATAAAATTGTGGTGGGACTCAATCTCCACTGTAAAATGCTACTTTCCCGATCATCTGCTAAATTGCGGGAAGTTATTTGCTATAACTGGTTATTTACACCGGGTATTTGTTATCCGTAGATGAAATTGCATAACCATCTACTAAGAACACTGTACACATACACATGTGTATGTAATTATGTGTAGATCTACAATTAACAATATAATCATCCGGTGTTAATAATAGGGTATAGCATAGAATTTCCCGTTGAATTGCATAAATGAAAAAGTTTTGTAGATGCTACATCGGGTGATTCTGCACCATTGAATAACACATAATAACACACATACTCATATGTATGTTTGCTTAGGAGGTGGTTATTTGTGTAAAATTTATAGTGCAAAATCACCCCGAAAATGAAACGAGCTTATGTTTTTACTACCACAAATTATTTTACCATTACAGGAATAAACTTTGTCATTGTTTGAGTCTACACAGAAGGTTTAGAAATGATTTGGGGTTTCTGAGAGTTTCTTAATTGGACAATATATTTATTACTTTTAACCTATACATTCACTATTGCACAATTCATATAGTTCTTGCTATTCGAAATTTGCATTTTTGTCAACATGGAAAATTGATTAAATTAATTATAAACTAAAAATAAAAATAAAAATCAAATTTGGATTAGAAAATCTGAATCCCAGGAACGAAATTCAGGGCTCGTAACCCGAAATTCGGCCAATTTTTGGAGTTCGGTTCTTTCTTCTCGTTTTGCTTAATTACTTTCTGAATTAGGTCAATCCAATTGAATGACGTGGTTTTAGTACCATGTTGGATGACCACCTCAACCAGAAAGCTTATGTTATTAGTGAAATGTATCATTTAATATTAATTATATCCAATAAATCCAACAAGAACAAGTTTCTCCACGGGAAATGGGAGTTGTCTACTATCCAGTATTTCAATTCATAACACGTGCAAATTCAGCAAATTCCCGAGAATTTCAGTAACTTGTCCGTCACAAAAATAGATTCAAAAATGACGAGTATCGAACTAGCTACACTATCCTCTATACAGCGAAAATGAAGAATATAAAAGATGCTAATGAGATGCATATTCCAATGATTATGAAAATGGTTTCGAATGTTGTTAAAAAAGAGGATCATGCAACAGAGACTCAAACTCAAAGAAGAAGAAAAGGAGAAGAGTATAATTGATGGATGATTACATATATAATATAAAACATAAAAAATACTGTTTTTATCTCTTAAGTTTGCACCTACTTCACATTTGTTCTCTATATTCACAAAAAAACATATTTGGTCACGCATATTTGAAAAATTCAACATTTTTAGTCCTTCTCGTCAATTTTCCGTTAGTACTTAACATTTGCAAATTTCGCTGTAGGGAAATTGATGGGGGAAGAACTTCGTAATCATAAAACTCGTATATTATGAGAGAATGAGTACGCGGTGTTGGCTCCAATGCGGCCGGAAAAATGTCTCGAATGTGGTCGCGCTTCTCACGTGCAATTCTTTCATGAAATACAATGCAACGCTCCTTGTCAATGCCTTGTGGAATTTGATCACCGCAATTAAGCACAAGTCTCTTACAAAATCATGGTTGCGACAAGTTTTAATTTTTGTATTCCACCCCAAACTATGAAGTAAAATGAGATTCCTGTCAACGAGATCCTTGAAGTAACCCTCTGCAATCTCTTCCAAGGTTGGGTATCATTTGGTTTTATGAATCCCTCATCAACCCAAACTTTGATTAGTCAGGATACATGAGTATCACCGTCTTCTGGAAAAATTCTCATATAGAAAACATGGTCTTAAATGAGCAGGCAAATATATATATTAGTCAACGAAAATATATCCAAGTGTTGCTCTTCTGAATCCAAGATCGAGTTTATACTCTTTGAAATATTCTCACAACACACAAACATAAAAGTGATTCACAATTAATCGACTTTGGTAAGCATTTCTAGTAAGACTAGTCTTACATATGCCGCCCATACCCACAATGGGGTATGATTTGCCGACAAGATTATTGTCCGGTGAGAGCATCCAAAAGTGGCATCAACTCCTCCTCGAATCCCACCATCTTCAAATTTTCGTAGTAATGTTTTGTATTGCACCAGAGTGGAGGTCTAGCCAATACACCTATATGCAGGGGCGGACCCACAGTGTGTCTTGCTGGGGTCCCTGCAACAAAATATTTTTTTACTAGTTTCTTACTATTTTTTATATTTTTGTGGTATTTAACTATTAATTTATGTACTTTAGCCCCCAAAATTAAAATTTTATACATATTTAGTCCATAAAAATATTATTCTCTCTTAATTTACACCTATATTCTAGCTCCCACCCAAAACCCCCTGAGTCCGCCCCTCCCTATGTGGTTTGCTCCCAGTTCTTTCATATAAACAAAAACTAATCCATCATATTTCCTATTACTGTAAATTTAAAAATATAATTTATTTAATCAAATTAACTTTTAGGGATTAGTTTATATATTTAAAAACAAAAAGAAAAGGAAAAAGAAAAAAAGTTACACTTCCAAAAATAGGGAAGAACTATTAAAAATTAACCTAAATTTACCTATGGTATATAAACCCCCACATGTTACAAAACTTTAAAAGTACAACAAACCTTTTAAAAAAGAAAAATCAAATTTGCAAGTAAAGCTTTGTATATATTAAGCCTAATAAAGACTAATCCAAGACCAAGAACACCCCCAAATAATAGGGACCATAACAATAGACTTCACTCAAGTAACAACACTTGTCCCTAATACTCTAACAAACCTTCACTTTCAGATCAAACTTTTTTACCATTTGCCTTTCTTTCTTTCCAAACACCAAATTAAGATTAACAAATTCACTGTCACTTATGATCAGAAAACAAAAACCATATCCATCTCTTTTGATGATTTGGAGAAATGACCATTAAGAGTGGCACCGGCCAAGCCTGCGCTGCTTGCAAGTACCAGCGGAGGAGGTGCACGCCGGAATGCCTCCTCGCCCCGTTTTTTCCGGCCGATCAACCTAAGATGTTCCAAAACGTCCACCGTTTATTCGGCGTGAAGAACATCCAGAACTTGCTCAAGGAGCTTCGCCCCGATCAGAAAGTTACGGCGATGAAGTCGATCAAATTCCACGCATTGCAGCGCGACAAATATCCCGTGCATGGATGCTTATTCGAAATACGACACCTCAATTATCAAATTCAAATGGCCGAAGACGAACTTCAAGCCGTTTTACAACAATTGGCTTATTACAGACAACAGCAGCAACAACAGCAACAACAACAACAACAACAACAACAACAACAACAACAGATAGCAGCAACTGAGGATTACATGTCTGAACTTCAATTAGGCGTGGCCCCACCTAGGAACGCTCCGTTTTCGCTTGAAGACAATAATGTCGTCCCGCAATACAATTGTGTTGCCCCACAAGCCTCGTATTCCAATAGTGGAAATGTCGATTATAGTATTAATTATTTGGATTTCAAGGAGAATAATAATGTTGTGAATTCTTTCTGTGAACAACAACAACATCAACAAGAACAACAACAACAAACATATAGTAATAGTAATGATAATAATACGAGTTCGATGGTCGTACATCCAGCACACTTGATTGTACCACAAGCTTTGTGTGTCCAACAAGAAATAGGTCAAGATTACAATGAGATGCATTCATTTTTCGATTGTGTTGATGACACACAATCTTATATCGGTTCCAAGGAAGCCTGCGATTCCAGGTATCAGTTATGATTCTTGATTTTCTTTATATATACACATATAGACAAACACACACAATAATGATCACGACACAATTGTTATATATATGATTTCGATGAGCTAACTTTGAATTTTTCGATCAACACGCAGCTTGGATTCGTCGCCGTCGAAAGATACAAGACAACTAGTTCATGAGGAAATGGCTGAGAATGAGTTGAAGAGTGCTGCCGCGTTTTTTAGCCTTACTAGTGTCAACTAATCAAGGAAGATGGCCAATTTTTTTTTGTTTGCATATACAAGTTGATAATCGGAATACCATTTGGGGCAGAAAATAAGACGGTTATTTTTTTTCTTGGGAGGGGTCTTTTTACCCTCAATTTTGAACTGAATTTAAGGTAGGAAGAGTATAATGTTTTTTTTAACCTCTGAGGGATGATTTTTTTTAATCTTTTTTTAGTTCAAGTTATCGATATATAGTTAATTTCATTCTCAAAACAATGGTTATAACTTATATATATTCGCTACATGGCGTTCGATATCGAAATCGGTCTAACTTTTAAAGGCCATCGTTACAGTAGAACATGAACGATAGTAGTCGTGTCATTGTTCAAAGATAAAATGGCTTAGAACGTGAAAATTAAATGGAAGAAGTTTATTGCATTCAGCGTCCATGTGTTTACTCAAATTGCTAAAAAAACTCTCCGTGTTATTTTTATTATCAAAACTCCCTTATAATCAAACTCTTTTAGCAAATTATCTCCCAAACTAAATATTTAAGGCCATTGTAATATTGTATGTAAAAAATGCATTATAGAGTGAATTTAGCTAATACGAATAACACGAGGAGTTTTTAGCAGTAATACTAATATATATATACAAATACGGATATCATAATTTTATCCGTATATTTAAAATTTGGGTAATTGCATTTACCTCCCCTAAACTATGATCATTTGGCAACCACACCCCAAATATTTAATTTTTTTTGTATCCACCTAGACTGTTAAAAATAAGGAGCATTTTGTATTTTCTTTTAGTATAATAGGAGAGGGGTGCAAATTGTATTAGAATAAACCAGTAAATTTAGAAATATATATTTGAAGATTGTTGAAATTTTAGGCCAAAATACATATTATGTATACAAAAACATAAGAGACGTGCTACTTTAACGCTCAAAATATTTTATTTCACCATCAAATTAATTATATTTTCTATTTTACACCTTCATTTTTCGTCCATGTACTGTATAAATTCACAAACTTTCCACCACTACCCTAATTAGAATATCCACAAAAAACTTCAGCATTTTCCACTAGAATCTTTACCACAAAATCCAACATTCTCCAACGTAAGTGAACAATATCTTTCTCAGAGAAAAACATCTTCAAATGTCAAAAATAGTAGGAATTCACGTTCTTGAAGTAATAAATTAAGTGCTTGTTTAGATATAAATAAAAAAAAAAAATAACACTCGAGATTTTTGATATTGTTTGTTTCGATGGATTAAAATTTGAAGAAATAGTTAAATTTCATTCAGCTCAATTTGAGCAGAAACCGATTCAGATTGAACGATTATAATAATCTTATTTAACCCTTTTAGATTTAATTTAGGGAAGAATCAACTATCTAAAATTTAAAATTCACAATTTTATTGTGAAAAAAATTTGGATGAAATGCTCTGCTGCATTAATATAAGGTATGTACATAATTTTATATGAAAGTTTAAATATATTGTAATAAATATTTATTGCATAAAAAAATGAGAGTAAAAAAGGAGTAATACGAGAGAGCGGTGGATTATAAATTTGAAAAGTATTTATAATTATATAAATTTGGTAGAAAATTAAGAGAATTTGCCAACCAGAAATAAAACCAGTCAAACATTATAAATTTAAGTACAGTCAACCTTGTCCCCGGCTCCACTGAAAAAGTCAAAACCCTCGTCAATTAGACAGAAATCAAAAAAATCAGAAATGGCGATTCCCGAACTTTACCAAGAAATCCTGATCGACATTTTCTTACGTCTCCCGGCAAAATCAATCGGCAAATGCAGATGCCTATCGAAGCCATGGCGCGCTTTTCTTTCCAGCCCTGAATTCATCAAATCCCACCTCGCTCGAAATTCCCACAAACAAAACCTCCTCCTCATCTCCGCTGCAAACTCGATCCACTCCATCGACACCATCAAAGAACGCACTAATTCAGCAAAAATCAAGCTGCGATCTGATTGGCTGGAGTTTGTCGGTTCTTGCGACGGCTTGATTTTGTTGGTAAACAAGAAAGGCGAAATCTTTCTGGTGAACCCCGTCACCCTGCAGCAGAGGAGAGTACCAAATTCGCCTCTATCTTTGAAGAAGCGGTTTAGCTTCACCGTGCATGGGTTCGGGTACGATAGTTCCACAGATGATTATAAGATTGTCACGCTTTCGTATTACGATCCCGAGTGCGAGTACGAGCCCGATTGCGTCGATACGTTCGTGGACGTTTATTACGTGAAGAAGGGGTTTTGGAGGAGGGTTGAGAATTCTCCTTACGATCACTCGGCACCTGATCGTGCGTCGGGGGTTTTGCTGAATGGGGCTCTCCATTGGTTGGCGAGTAGTCCAGGGACCGGTTATCCGTCTGTAATTGCTGCTTTTGATTTGGCACGTGAGGTGTTCGATGAAATTCCTGCTCCAAGTGGTATGAATATGGACTTTGTGTTCAATTCGCTTCATGTTCGTGGGGGTTGTCTTTGTATGGTTGACTATCAATGTAATGCTCGAAAGAGTATTTGGATTATGAAGGAGTACGGGTTGGCGGAGTCTTGGACGAAATACGGTATCGGTTGGTATGACGGTATTTTGAAGCCTTTGTGTTTTGTTGGGGATGAGGAGTTTGTGTTGATTACCCATGAAGCTTTAGTTGTTCACAATGTGAAAGACGGGAAATCGAGGGATATGGTTGTTGATGGAGTTCAAGACGCTTTTATCGATGGAGGCATCTTCGTGGGGAGTCTTCTCTCGCCAACTTTTAGCGGTAAATCCCCTTCGATTCCTCGTTTGTATGTCGTAATCTATCTCTTTTTACTTGTTTTTTTCTTCTTGTTTATTCGTGAGAGTGATATGACGATGCTTGAGAAATATTTGATCCTTATCATGAAAATGGTGGTTGTAAACTTTCAGATATTTCCGAACTTGAAACGGTGACCTGCGAATTCACCCAACAAATCTTGATCGAGATATTCTCGCGTCTCCCCGCGAAATCCGTAGGCAAGTGCAGGTGTTTATCGAAACAATGGCACACGATACTTTCCACCCCCGAGTTCATCAAGTCCCACCTCGCTCGAAAACCCCACCAAGAAAATCTCCTTCTCATCACCCCATCACATTCAATGAACTCCATTGCCACCATCAAGAACGACGCATTTTCCGAAAAGATCGAAGTGCAGGATAACTGGATCGAGGTTTTGGGCTCTTGCGACGGCCTAGTTTTGTTACTAAACGAGGAAAACGAGAAGTTTCTAGTGAACCCCGTTACTTTGCAGCAGGCAAAAGTACCAGATCCGCCTGTAGCTCTAGAAAAATGGGAGAGCTTTACCATGCATGGATTCGGTTACGATAGTGCTATCGATGATTATAAGATTGTCTCAGTTTCTTATTCTTTTAACGACGAAGATTACGACACTGGCTTTGTGGATACGTTTGTGGATGTGTATTACGTGAAGAGGGGGTTCTGGAAAAGGGTTGAGAATTCTCCTTATGCCCATACTTTTCACGACCCCCCCTCCGGGGTTTTCTTGAATGGAGCTGCCCATTGGTTGGCTAGTATTAAAGATTCGAGGCATCGGTCTGTAATTGCTGCTTTCGATTTGGTTCGTGAGGTGTTCGATGAAATTCCCGCTCCAAGTGGCATAAATGCGAACTTTGTGTTCTGCACGCTTGTGGTTCTTGGGGGTTGTCTTTGTTTGGTCGATGCTCGATGCAATAAAAAAACGGATGGTAACCGAACGGATGTTTGGGTTATGAGAGAGTATGGATCGGCAGAGTCTTGGATGAAATTCAGTATCGACTGTAACTATTACGAGCGGTATATTATTGCAAGGCCTTTGTGTTATATCGGGGGTGATGAGGAAATTGTGTGGACGACCAAAGAGGAAAGTTTGGTTATTTACAATCTGAAAGACAAAACTTTTAGAGATATGATTGTTGATGGATTTCCGGCCCATGTGCTTAATGGATGCAGCTTTGTCGGGAGCCTTGTCTCTCCTTATTTATGATATGTCTTAAAATCTCGACCCGCTATGTCATGTTCGAATCGGAGCAGAACATGTACATGTGTGTGTGTCGATATATATAAAGGTAGTTGTTTTTGGGTATAAAGATTAGATGGTTGTTTTAGACTGTTATTGTCTGACTTTATGTTCTTATTTTGTGTTTAATTATAGGTGAAAGTTGGAACGGAATTTTCAATTTCCGGTTGTTTGACTATGAAAAGTTCCGATTTTAGAAAAACTTTTTTCATTCCGATTTTCGATTTTCCGTATTTTTTTTAATTGAAATTGGAATTATGTAAAAAAATTGAAACTTCCGATTTCCGATCCGATTTAATTTCCAAAATAAATTCCAATTTTTTTTTTTCTGAAAAATTTACCTACAACAAAATATATACATATTAGTTAGAGGATGTTTGGCTAAGCTTATTTTAAACAGCTGATAAGCTCTTACGTCTGATAAGATGTTTTAAGCTCTTGCATCTGATAAGATGTTTTAAGAACTGATAAGTTGTTATAACTTATTTTTATAATTAATTATTTTCCTCGGTGCAAAAATGTAATATTTAATTAAATTTGTACTTTAATAATGGCCATGTTGGAAATTCAAACCTTTTCATTTGCTATCAAAGTGGGTTTTTTTGTTTCTTTTCTTTTTTTTTAATGAATCGAAACTTAGTAACTATTAGTTTTAGGGTAAATAGCACTTAACCCCCCAGTGGTTTCACCCTTTTGCACTTCACCCCCCTCTGATATCGATTTGGGCAGTTGACCCCCTTGTGGTTGTCAATTGGTAGCGGCCGTCTAATAATCCGTTAAAGTTAACGGCAAGTGCATCACACTCGCCCAAAATTGGAGTGGTTGAAGGTTTTCAAGCTGAAATTTCTAATAATACCCATGTTGCCCTTTTGGCTTTAATAAAAAATTCTACACTATTCTGATTTTTCTTTTAATTAGAAAAATAATATATTTTTTTCTTAAATTATATTTTATATTCTATATTACATAATTTCTAAATTATATATTAATTATTTTTTAATTTACGTATATGAATTCTTTTATAACTATTTTATATTTTTTTCAACGAAATTATGTTCAATTAGTTGTAGGTTCTAGCTTTTCATTTTAAAAAAAATATACATGTATATATATTATAAAGAGTAAATTACAAATTAGAAAGAAAAATAAATTAACGACTTAATAAGGGTTGAATAGTTTATGAATTGTTTATCCACCCAAATCTGAAACCAGAAGAGGAAAAGGAAATGTCGAAAAAATGTGGATGAAGAAGACGATGAGTTATGATATCAACCCGCCGCCGACCAACACCATGACCTCTATTTGTATTGTGGAAGTCTTTCGGTTTCAATTTTCTCTATTTTTTGGATCGAGTTTTCTGGGAATTATTCTCAATTATTCTCAAACAAAGGGGATATCTTGATTTTTTTTCATGAGGTTTCTGCTTTCTGGGCTGCCCTAGACTCTAACCAAGACGCCACCGTTGTTTTTCTCCGGCGTATCTTAGACGGACAAAGTTTCTTTTTCTTGAAGATGCTGGTTCGGTAAATCCCCATTTGAAGGCAGGGGAAAAGACGAAGATGAAAAAATTGTAGTTTAGTCCTATGAATATGGGTTATTTATAATTAAATCATATTGGATTTATATTTATATACAAGGGTTTTAGCAGTGATTTTGACCTGCAAATAGTAGAAAAAAGAGGTCATTTCAGACATTTTACATGTTCTGTTAGTTTATTAGACGGTCGCTACCAATTGACAACCACAGGGGGGTCAAGTGCCCAAATCGATATCAAAGGGGGGTGAAATGCCAAAGGGTGAAACCACAGGGGGTTTAAGTGCTATTTACCCTTAGTTTTATCAAAGTGGGTGCGTTCTTATTTTTGGAAATTTATGAAAATTTATGAATTTTTTTTGAAATGTTTTTTAAAATTTAAAACTAAATGCGATTTCCAAATTTTCGGTGACTTTTGGAATCACTATGAATTTTTAGATTTCGATTTTGTTTTTAATTGAAATTGTTTTTGTACTTTCGAGAAAAAAATGGAAATTTTCAAAAAATGTTAATTCTCAAGCGTTCCATCCGACTATCACCCATTCACCCTTATGTTTAATCCCTTTTGATTGAACTATTTCTCTTTGCCAACTTGTTAGCATATGATACAATGATGCCTATCTTTAAGAGGTTGAATTATTGGCAAAAAAATTTATATACTTAGAATGTTTTATTTATTTTTTACAAGTTTTCTTGTTCAATATATGGATTGTTGAAATCGATTACATAAAGCATACAAGTTATATTCAATTATTCATTATTCCATATGCAATCATTTCACTTAGTCCGCACCAGGAATTCAACGTTTAGAGCATGGTCCCACTTTGCACCTTTGAAATGAAGCATTTTGGTACTTTACGCACTTGAAAAACAATAATAGTATTTTACACTCTCGAAATACAATAAATCCTTAACAATGCACACTTAAGTGAATAATAAAGGCAATTTCATTTTTTATTGATTGTTTTTATTTATTTTATTCACATCGTGCAAAATAAAAAATTAAATTGTTATTTTCTTCAACTTTCAACCTAATTTCGAGCGCACCAAGTGCAGAAAAATAAAAATCACACTCAATTTTTGATAAAAACTATAGTTTCATTCGGGAGTGCATTATACATGATTTATTGTGTCTCGATGGTGCAAAGTGCTATTAATTTATTTCGAGGGTGCAAAGTACCAAACTACTATATTTGAAGGGTGCAAAGTGGGATTAAGCTTTTAGAGCAGCCGCCCTAATAATTTATATCTTGAATAAAGTTTTCAAGATCATTTGAATTAAGGCCAATAGTAAAAATACAAAAAAAAAATCATTATATATATATATATATGTAAGAATCAATTGCCTACCAGCTTCTCTTCTAATTTTTTTCGGCCCATTTAATCTTAAAACGACGTCGTTTTACTATTTTCCACTCTAAAAGCAACTTGTAGCAATTTATTTTTCCAATTTTATTTAATGCGGTCGGTACTCTTGCTGTAGGGGCCCGCCGTCGGTTCTCTCTCCTGTCTTATTTTATTTAAGAAATTAATTTCACTTGGCCTACTTATTCTTCCCTCCTCTTCTTTCATTTCTCTCTCATGCTTTTATTCTTTTTTATTTAACAAATTATTTTTACCTGGGCCCACTTATTCTTCCCACATCTTCTTTCATCCGACACAAGTATTGGTGTTCACATATTAAAATTATTTTATATTGTGTGGTCCCAAATATCTCTTCTTTTTATTTATCTTCTTATTCTTAAATCTACACCAGTCACCCCTCATTGTTCGTCTACATTTTTCTACTTTTGTTTTATTTATCCAACAAATTTGTTTTTCCTTTTCTTTATATTTCTTTTATTTTATATTAGTTTTTGTTTTATTACATTCATGGTCCAAATAGGACCCATATAAATAATATTTATGTTCGAAATTTAATAAAATATTTATTTTTTCAAAAACATAATTAAAAAAAAAAAAAAAACCTAAATAATGGGCAAACAGCACCGCGCATTGCGCGGTGCACACCCCCTAGTATATATATATATATATATATATATATATATATATATATATATATATATATATATATATATATATATATATATATATAATTACAGAAACTAGAAGCTAAGGGACAAATTAAAATTAGCATTATTAAATTAGACCAATACAGTGAACGAGTTAAGAACCCTACAAAAAAAAGTTCAAACATCTCTCATCCAAACTCTCATTCTGTAATTTGAAGCACAACAAAAATCTGTGATGGCAGCTTACGCAGCTCTAGTTTCTCTTATGAACACTATCGATGACATCCGAAATCATCATCGATTTTCGACTTCGGTTCTCGACAACAAACAGGTTGAGTCTCTTGATGCAAAGCTCTATTTCTTGCTAGATTTCATAGAGAGTGGTCATTCACACGAATTGCTGGAGAGCCAAATCGCATCCGCAGCCCATGCGGCCGAAGATGTAATCGAATCTCATGTCGTCGACCAAATTGACTCCGATTCCGTTTCCTCGCTCGATCTACATGCAGTTATCGAACACTTGGATTCTGTTAAGGAAAAGGTTTTCAATGTTGTTAAAGAAGAAAGGGTATTATTCAATGATCATCTTCAACAGGGCCCCACATTTTCGTCGTTTGCTCCTAGATCTTCATCAAGTATTAACGGAAATAGCAAGATGGTGGGATTTGACGAGGAGTTGTTTCAACTATTGGATGCTCTCACCGGACGACAATCGAGTCTGCAAATCATACCGATTGTGGGTATGGGCGGCATCGGTAAGACTACTCTTGCTAGAAACGCTTATGAACATCGACTAATTTCGAACCACTTTGATGTTTGTGCTTGGGTTACAATATCTCAAGAGTATAGTGTGAAAGAAATCTTTTCAAAACTTCTTTCTCGCCAAAGTAGTCAATCTGCTGATGAACAACAATTAGCACAAGAGTTGTATCAAAGTCTAATAGGTAGGAGATATTTGATTATATTGGATGATATCTGGAGCATCGATGCTTGGGAAAAGATGATGTTTTTCTTTCCGGATAACAACAATGGAAGTCGAATTATCCTAACCACTAGGCTATCAAATGTTGCTGTTTATTTTGGCTCGTCGTACTTTTCAATGAAATTTCTCGATGAATATAAAAGTTGGAAGCTATTTTGCGAAAATGCATTTCCACAAGAAGGTTGTTGCCCTCCTGAATTAGAGGAAATTGGGAAGAAGATCGTTAAAAAATGCAAAGGACTTCCCCTGTTAATTGTTGTGATTGGAGCACTTCTTAGGAAGTCCTCAAAGACACGAGAATATTGGGAGAATATTTCAGAAAATATGAACTCGATTCTTGATTCTTCAAAAAACATGGAGCAAAGCGTGGACATATTATCTTTGAGTTATAGCAATTTGCCAGCTCATTTAAAACCGTGTTTTCTGTACATGGGAATTTTTCCAGAAGATAGTGTTATTTATGTGTCCCAACTCATCAAACTTTGGGTTGCAGAGGGATTTATAAAATCAACTAAAACCCAAACCTTGGAAGAGATCGCAGAGGATCACTTAAAAGATCTCGTCGACAGGAATCTCATTCTACCTCGTAAGTTGAGGTCGACAGGAAAAACAAAAACCTGCACTATCCACGATCTTTTGAGAGACTTATGCATAAAGGCAGCTGAGAAAGAGAAGTTTCTTATTGTGATGAGGGTGAATGATGTTCACATTAATGCAGAAGGCATATATAAGGAGCGTCGTATTGTATGTCATCAAGAAATTCCAAGGCGTCAATTTATTGATGCTTTTGAGTCGGCATCACTTATTCGTTCTTTTGCAACCAACAGTAATTTGATGGAGATTGAGTTGAAATTGTTGAGAGTATTGTTTGCGCCTATCCGCAGGTACAACAATGATCTGTACGAGATTTTGAAGCAGGTTAACTTGCGTTACGTTTGCGTACGTCCAGAAGTGTGGGAGGATAATTTCGAAAGGTTTCAAAAAATATCACGAGTTTGGAATTTGCAAACTCTGACTATTAGAGATGATGCTGATGAAGTATTTGTTACACCATCTGAGATTTGGGAGATGGTGCACCTTAGGCATGTGGAGTTCAATAAGGTATTTATTGTCGATCCACCTTCTAAAAGCAACGACTTTGTTTTACGAAACTTGCAGACGGTCGAAGGAGTGATCGATTTGAGGTTAAGTGATGAGGTGTGTAAGAGAATCCCCAATCTCAAGAAACTGAAGATAACGTTCAACGACGTTTTGTCTGAGAGATCTTCAAGACACTACTCTCTCTACAACATTGGCCGCTTACATAAACTCGAATCACTAAAATGTTGTTTCCGGAACATTCTGGATGGGAGCAATTCACCTCTGAATCTGATGGCATTACCGACTTCGCTCAAGAAGTTGACTTTACAAGGTTGTTGTCTTCATTCGGAAGACTTGGCTATGATTGGTTCTTTGCCGCATCTTCAATTTCTCAAACTAGCATATGTTTCGATAGTAGGATCCGAGTGGGACCCGGTTGAGGGAGGATTTCTTCAGCTGAAATTCCTTAAAATTTACTCTTGTAGAGATCTGAAATACTGGAATGCGGACAGCTCACATTTTCCGGTACTAGAAAACATTAAATTTGTCGAGGTGGATAGGTTGGTTGAGGTTCCGTTGGGTGTCGGAGAAATACCGACACTTGGCGCAATCGAATTGGTCAGATGCACCGAGTCAGTGGCCATGTCAGCAGTGAGAATATTGGAGGAACAAGAGAGTTTCGGTAACGAAGGTCTTCTTCAAGTTCGAATCAAGTTCTGGCATGATGACGATTTAGAGATGTTTAAGGAAGAGATGGAGGAGCAATTTCCAAGCTTCACAAGCAATAATCTGCAACTCGATTTGTACTCGTGGAGACAGAAGTACTACAAGTACTGGTAATGTCAAGGCACGGGTCCATCGAAACGAATCGAGAATGTTACATATTAAGATAGGTTGCATAAATCATGGAAACCGACGAGAAATCGGTACTAGCTATTATTGTTTATATGAATTTACAGAATTTTGCTTTTGCTCAATTTGTCAATATTTTGAAATTAGTTTTAATATTCGCAGATACTTTTTAAATTGATGTATGAGATTTGTAATATTTATCGCAATTAATAGTAAAATTATGCAATGTAGTATACTTGAAGTTAAAATAGCTATTCCGTGCAGAACATTTGAAGTATATATTTTGAAGAAATTTTATAGTGACTTGAGACAAAAATAAGAGATGAAATTAAGCTGAAAATATGTACATGTGTTTGAAGCTGAAAATATCATAATATCTTGCTTTGTGCAGAACCTTAAACTTCTCGGGATGAATGAATTGTCTGAGGTTCCGTTGGGTGTCGGGGAAATACCGACACGACACTTGGCGCTATTGAATTGGTCCAATGCAACGCTTCCGCGGCGATTTCGGCGGTGAAAATATGGGAGGAACAATTTCAAAGCTTCACAAGCAATAATCTGCAACTCAATTGTTCAATATGAAGCCAGCAAATTAAACTAGGAGTAATAACATAAATGTATGTACATAGTTTGTACAATCATTACATACACAATAGTAGTATACAGACAAGCTACACTTCTCACGACAACATTCTTCTACGTACAATCCCAGCATAGACTCCCCTCGTATTTACGAACAAAACCAACGCCACAAAAAACCCAAACAGACTAACACAAGCCAATATAAAAAACGACAGCATAAAACAATGAGCTCCACTGCAAGAATTCCCCATACCCGATCCTTCTTTATCGTATATATAACCGATCACCCTCACGGAAAGCAAGTACGAACCCAAAGGACTAGCTATAGCAATGGTGTTAAATATAGTCCCCATATGCAGCACGCCGAATATTTCACTAGTAATTGTGGGCATCAACGACCACTGCGACCCATAACATATGCCAACCAAAACGGACCCCACGTACAAATTCCCGGGAAAACCCGACCCAATGATGACGTGGCCACCCGTCATAGTTGCTAACGTAAGCACCATGAACAACGGCCTGCCCCAACCTTTATTGTGCATGAAGATATCGGATATATATCCTGCCCCTAACCGACCGAGAAAGTTCCATATGCTCCATAGGGAAACCAACGTGCTTCTCTCTCTAGAAGTGTAGCCGAGCGATTCCCCGATTTGGCTTATGTTGTTGATTGTGGCCAGCCCCGAACCCATCCCGCATAGCATGGCTGTAAAAAGTAGCCAAAAGTTTAGCGTACGCATTGCTTGTAAGAGATTCATCTCTTCGAATCCGACATCAAGAACGGCCGCCTTATTCTCCACTACGGACAAGTTTTCTTCGACTAAAGGGGTTTTCAAAGTGGAGGGTGCAATTTGCAGGTCATCTTTATTTGCTTCGACCGCGATTTTAATAGGTGAAGACAATAGAACTAGGAGAACAACTAATGTCAAGACACGAATCCATTGAGATAGAGCGAAGATGTTGCCGATGATTATCAGAAACATGAGATAGGCTGCAAGAATTACGGAAATCAACGAGAAACCGTTCAGGTACTTCTTTTCGTCGCCTCGAGATTGTACGTGATGGACCCTCACGAAAAACATAAGGACAAGGGAAAGAAGAGTCGGTACAAATGCAAGCATTAGCAAGAAAGTGCTCGGTTTCCCTGCGAATAGTGTTTGGTACACTTGTATGAGTACTGCGCCACTAAGTCCGAGAAAACCCTGTCAAGGAAACAACATGAGAAATCGGAAACTTCAGAAATGTAGTATTGAAGATTTACCTTGGTGCCTACTAGTTGAAGATTTTGTCGATTGTGGTTTCATTTTTATCTACCAATTGGATATTACTATAAATTCGTAAAACAATCTTCCCCGGGAAACTTTCCGATCAATGCCATTCATAATCCAACACACGTTAAGAAAAGACATTAACATGGCCATATTTCGGGAACACCTAAAACAAATCGAGTTTCCCATACATTTTTCAAATTAAAATAGTCATAAAAATAAAATACTACGAAACATAAGATTCGAAGTGACGCGTGACGTGGCTCAAATCTAAAGCAAAATCACGGAGTACCATCGTCATACCTTTTTTTTAAGAGTATAGCAACCACTTAAGTTTTATTTAATAAATTCACGGGCGGGCCTAAAAATTGGGTGAGTTGTAGCGGTCGATATTTATTATATGCCATTTATTCATGAATACGATTGATACGGCTAATCTTGCCGGGCAAGTTCCATCCTCCACACTGCTCATTTTTTTATTTTATTTTTTGAAAATTATTTTATTGTCATTGCTAATATTCTAATGATTAACTTGACATTTGATTGAATTTTAAGGAAAGAGAAGCTTATAAACTGCCAAGTCTTATTCTAGTACACATGTACTAATTAAAAATGTAAGCCTCAATTTTTTTTTTTTTATTTTTTGACTTATTTAAGATTGTGAATTTGGATTAAAAAACAGAGCCCTAAAATGGTAAAATTAATTTTGATAGTAAAAAATTAATTTTGATAGTAAAAAATTGGGCGAAAAAGAAATACCTTCATCAGACCGACAATTGTTCCGCTGTAATCGGGGAAATTCTGTACGGCGGTCACCACGTTGGCCGTGTTGAAGAACGTCTGCGCGTGGGCGGCGAGGAACATGAACAGGCACGTGACCCCCACGTGCGGCCGGGGAATGGCTCCCGTGACGGCGAGCCACAGGAAGAAGTACCCGACGAAGCACTGGACCGCGCCGGCGCCGTGGACCACCCACGGCCCCGACAGCGAGGACGGCGGCGCGTGGCGTCGGCGTCGGCGGCAGACGGCGGCGTAGAGGAGGCCGGAAATGATGCCGGCGTTGGCGCCGATGTCTTTGAAGACGGAGATCGTGTCGAGCGTCGATTGGTCGTAGCCCTGGCTCGATTTGAGGACCGGAGAGTAGATTCCGAAGGCGTACGATGCGCCGCAGCTGCACTGGATCCAAATGCTCGCCACCGCCGCTATCCATTTGCTGGACTCCATGGAAGCTTTTGCCCCTTTGTTTTTTTTTTTTTCTGATATGTATCTATCTTATATATCTGTATTCATGTGAGCATTTCTATATTTGGATAGATACAAAAAAACTGGAAAGATGTGTGTACAATTGGATATCGTTGTGTTTACGTGTACCTTTTTGTTTGTGGGGTTGTCTGTCTGTCCTTTCGTAATTTACATATACTTAGAAATTGTTGTACGAAACTTGATTTTTTTAAGGTAATTAATTACGAGTATATATGCCTTGTTTATTATGTAGTAATGATTTAGATGTATTATTTTTTGGGTAAGTTACGAAAATACCCCATGTCCATACGTAATTACCAAACACCTCTTGAGGTTTGTTTCTATCTTACACCAACCCCTTACAGTGTGACTTTTCACGGATTTTTTCTTTATTTCAGGGAATAGACTTTACACAATTTTAAGAAAAATAAATTCTCACCTATTTAACATAAGGTATAATAGACTGTACACATTTTTTATTAAAAAAACTCGATCAACAGTTAATCAGATGGGATTTTGGTTATCACGGATAGGTGGGGGCATCTTTCGTTATTTAACCTAAGTTCAGGAGGGTTTCGTAATTTACCCTATTTTTTTCATCTAGTATTATATTTATTTTTTTTAAATGATTTATCCTAGAAACATAAACAAAAACTTCGGTTTGGTTATATTACCCGTGTTTGGCATTGTTGCAATTCAGCTCAAAGAAAAAAAAGAGGTTGAACCGGTTGGACCGGGTGTGAAATTGCATTCAACCGAGTTGGACGGAATCACCCAAATGATACCACCCAATGACATGGATAGATAGAGTTCGATTTTTTCTAGATACATTAGTTTTCTATTTGGTTAGTATTAATAGGAGTACGTAGAGTGAGGTTTGAGGATGAAGAAAAATAGAATTATTTTCTTAGTATTTTCTTGCAATTTGCGTATAAAATATTGTCGATACATAGTGAGAACAAGCGTTCTCGCTCCTAGATGGAGATATTTGTGTGTGAGAACAAGCGTTCTTGCTACTAGATGGAGATATTTGTGAATTTTTTGAAAGTTCAAAACTTGGGTAAATAGTGTCCATGGTTTTACTAATTTACATTTAAAGGCTCGGTCTAGTCATATCGGTAGTTGGTGCATTAGGCAAAGTCGTCTTTTTTTGGCTCTCTAAGATCCCTTAGAGAGGTAGATGTTGATATTGAAGATGAAGTTGATCAATATTTTATAGCCTTGTGTACTCATATAGAACATTGATGCATAAGGGCCTCTCAAGCTATAAAGAATCTTGAAGTTGTTAATTCATTACAAAACTTGAAGGAATTGGATATATCTGACTGCTGCAAAATCTAATGTTTGGTTATATCCGCTAGGAATTTTGTCTCGTGTATGTATTAAGCAAACAATATCAATCCACTGTTCAAGAAAATTCCAAATCTAAATGAGCTAACTCTTGGTGGGGCATTTTGTAAGTAATTTGTTTTGGAACCTAACAAACACTCAAGTTATTCAGTCCAACTGGTGAAACTTGTATTGAATTTTAAAACATTGGTAGGTGGTGGAGCGCGCTCTCTCTCTCCCTCCCTCCCGCTGCTCTAATGTTTTTGATTCTTTGATGATTACAAATGAATGAGCTACCCCTATTTATACAACTCCACCTCCTCAAGAAACGTTTGTGGCCATCATTATCTAACGGTTAGGAGATATCCTCTAGAACACTCCATGATTTTCTACCATAGACACAAAAGAGGATTCTAGAAGACCTTTTGAATCCTCTAAGGATCTCTACACTTGGCCTAATTGTGGCATCTTCCATTCCATTGGGCTTGATTCATGAATTAAACTTAGCCTCCTCGGGTCCATGGGAATTGGGCGGCTCGTGACAACATGCTCGAAAATGCCCGTGTTTTCAAGAACGAAATGTTGATGCCTTTCAAAGAATGTAATGAAGTGGATCGAGAGATGATATATGGAGCTTGAATTCCATTTGCAATGCAAATGGATTCAAAATGGATGAACCTCGTGAGAAAAGAGATGCCATAAATTGAGATATAGGTCGTTTGGAGCGGAAACTGGTCACCCTAAACTTCACGGGAATCATGGTGCAAAGGGACACGTTAAAGGCAACATTTTTAGACCTACTAGCTGGATTTGCGTTGAGTAATCTGGTGATTGTAATGGATATAGCTTATTTGACTGCTCTTGTAAGGATGAAGGAGATGGAGGCATAAGAGTTGTATTTGCTATTGAACTTGCTCATTGTGACACAAAGTGTGATGAGATACGGAGGCCAGGGGCGGATTTAGGGGTTGGCCAAGTATGCCATGGACCACCCGAAATAATAGGAAGAATTTAGCTTGCCTTAGTGGTAAAGATGTCCAAGTTTTAGAAGAGGTCATGAGTTCGAATCTATTTTGGTGCAAAAAATTGTTGTTTATTTTTTTTGTCTCAATTTCTTTTGAGACACATTATATTATATCTATATTACTATTTAGTTCACCCAAAATTCAAAATATACAAAAAAATCCTAATTTATTTTTTAGCCCCTCTCCCAAGAACACATTTTATTATGGCTATGTTTGATTAGCTCTTAATGAGGTCTTAATGCTCCTAAAATCTGATTCGGTCAGAGATAACTAATTAAGAGTGTTTGGTATACAACTCTGACCGGATTCATCTCCTGCTTATCGATTCAGTCAAAACATTAAGACTTAATGGTTCAGATATCAACTGAATGAAAATTAGACAAAATTATCCCCATAAAATCCGTGCCTCTTGATTCGAGGAAGCAATTGTAGTTGATGAGTTTTTGTGTTCGGCCAGTTATATTTAAATAAACAAATGAGTATGCGAGGAAGAGAGATAAAGTAGCGGTGGAGAATTTTTACTTTTTAATTTATTTCCCTTTCTTCATCTTTTATTGATTATGGGGTGTTGACGAAAATTGTAAATTATATTCAAATTTTACTTTCCTATTTTTCAATTATAGGATTTAGATTTACAATTATTATTTTTATTTTATCAAAATAAATATATATAATATTACAAGGGTGATAATAATTATTTTTTATTTTAGATATTAGTGATGATTCTATTAGTGAATAAATATATGTTTAATAATTACTCTAAAAAAATTACGAGGGACAATATAGTAAAATTATATGTTATTCAGTGACTATAAATTTTCACTTGTCAAACAAACTTAATTATTCAGTATTCAGATTCAAACACTAATCTTAACCATTCAGTCACATATTCAGCATTTAGTGTTCAGTGCTTAATTCTGTCAAACATAGTCTATATCTATATTATTATTTAGACCACTCAAAATTTAAAATATATAAAAGAAAGTCCTAAATTTTTTTTTCTCCTAATTTATTCAAAAAAAAAAAAGGTTCAATTTTTTTTTCCTTCTCCTAATTTATCCAACAAAAAAAATTTACAATTTTTTTTCCAAGGGCGCTGCCTCCGTACCCCCGAAAATTTAACCCAACTGTACACTAAATTCCTAGATTCGCCACAGCCGGCATACCCTGAATTTTCATTCTGGATCTGCCACTGCTCGAGGCATCTCATAATTTGTGATTCATTCATTGCCCGCCTGGCTTTACGAAATTGACAACAGAAGGTTTCGCACACTCACTATCCAACAAGCAACGGAGAAGTAATTCAGAACAACCAACTCGAAAAAGAAAAGCACTAGTGTATTAATTTTACCAAAATTATAGAGAAGTAAACATAGAAAAAGACCTATTTTGAAAAAAATATTTTTCATTTTGAATTCCAAAATTCTTATTCTGAATTTTATTAGACCATAATTGGAATATAAATGAGATTCCAGTTTTGAATCCAATTCTTTGTCATACCCGTAATAATGCGAATGTACAAATGACCTTCGATTAATTTGGATGTTCTACTATCAACAATCTAAACACGCTACTTCGATCATCTCAAGAATGAGTTTGACGTGTGTGTGTATATATATATATATATATATATATATATATATATATATATATATATATATATATATATATATATATATATGCATATGCGATGTTTCTTTTGTTGGCTATCGACGAAACTTCGATTTATCTCTTTTATTTTAGTGCATCAAATGCAATCATACAAACAAACATTACTTTAATCCTCAAAATATTTTCTTAAACACGTTTATATTCCGAAATGAAACCAAAATCTATCTCAAAACATCACAATTCACATACACAAATCGGTATATATATATTCTCATCTTGCCCACTTCCTTCTACGTACAATCCCAGCATAAACCCCCCTCGTATTTACGAACAATACCAACGCCACGAAACACCCAAAAAAACTTACAACCGCCAATATAAAAAACGATAGCATAAAACAGTGACTTCCAATGCAAGAATTCTCCATCCCCGTTCCTTGTTTATCGTATATATAACCGATTACCCTCACAGAAAATATGTACGAACCCAAAGGACTAGCTATAGCAATGGTGTAAAATATAGTCCCCATATGAAGCACACCAAATATCTCACTAGTAATTGTTGGCATCAACGACCATTGCGAACCGTAACATATTCCAACTATAACCGACCCCACGTATAAGCTCCCGTAAAAGCCCGAGCCAATGATTACATGGCCAGCTGTCATAGTTGCTAACGTAAGCACCATGAAAATCGGCCTCGACCAACCTCTATTATGCATGAAAACATCCGATACATATCCTGCACCAAAACGATCGAGAAAATTCCATATGCTCCATAACGAAACCAACGTGCTTCTCTCTCTAGAAGTGTAGCCGAGCGATTCTCCGATTTGGCTTATGTTGTTGATTGTAGCCATCCCTGAACCCATTCCACATATCATAGCTACAAAGAGTAGCCAGAAGTTTAGCGTACGCATCGCTTGTACGAGATTCATTTCTTTTGATTCGACATCATCAAGAATATTATCGGACTTATTCTCGTTTTCTTCCGACCGATTAGGGTTTTCGACTAACGGGGTTTTGATCAAAGTGGCCGGTGTTATTTGCAGACCATCATCTTTATTTGCCTTGATCGCGATATAAACAGGCGAAGAGAGAAGCACTAGGAGAACCGGTAATGTGAAAGCGCGAACCAATTGAGACAAGACGAATATGTTGTCGATGATTATCAGAAACATGAGATATGTTGCAATGATCATGGAAATCAATGAAAAATCATTTAGGTATTTCTTTTCATGGCCGCCGATAGATTGCGTGTGATGAACTCTGACGGAGAACATTAGGGCAAGGGAAAAAAGAGATGGTAGTAATGCAAGCATTAACAAGAAATTGCTTGGTTTCCCTGCAAATAGTGTTTGATACACTTGTATGAGTACTGCACCACTTATACCAAGGAAACCCTGTCAAAAAAACATGGGTATAATTGGAAATTGTACAAGTATAATGTTAGTGCAATGAAAAACATGGAAAATTATAGTTTTCATCCCTGAAGTTTGCAATGATTTCACATTTGATCCCCTATGTTCACAAAAAACACATTTGATTCTTCGTGTTTCAGAAATTCAACATTGTTAGTCATTTCAGTCAATTTTCCGTTAGTAATAACGGAATCAAACATGTGCCCAACACTGCCTTAAATGACGGACTAACGGTAAATTTACAGAAAATGACCAAATGTGTTAAATTATTGAAATACGAGGGACCAAATATATTTTTTTTGTGAAAATTAGGACCAAATGTGAAATTTGTGTAAACTTGAGAGATGAATACTATAATTTTCTCATGAAAAACATCTACCTAACTTATTGACATGGAAAAGCAAACAAGCAATGTTATTTCATGTTCTAAACTTAGAGATGATAACAGTTTTGGTTTTATTTTTGTCTTCCCATTTTTATCCTCCCATAATAAAACCAAAAATTACCCTATTTTCCTCGATCCATCTCCCTCTAAAACAACGTTCATATAAACATGTTGAGTAAAAATTAAGGGTATTATTGTCTTTTAAAACTTACGAAACAAATTAAATTCCACTTGAGGAATAAGTGATAAAAATTAGGGTAAAATTCATTTTGCACCCCTGTACTATGAGAAAGGTATCGTTTACCCCCCTGATGTATGAAAAACATCAAATACCCCCCTGCAGTTAGGGCTGTGCGTTGGTTGGTTTGGGTAAAAACCAGGCAGAAAACCAACCCAACCCATCCAACCAACTTTAGTAAATATTGGAAACCGTTATCGACCCATTTTACATGGGTTGGGTGATGGTTGAGAACCAATTTGGTGGGTCGGTTGGTGGTTTGGTTGATGGGTCATCCATCTAATTTTTTTTTTTATTTTTTTTAATATTTTATTAGTTGTTTCAACGCTATATCTTTTATAAATTAAATGTGACTAGTTCAACAATATTCAAAATAAAATATTCAAAACATTACGGGCATATATATTGCAATTAAACATAAATATTTCAACAAATAATAATCGTCCAAATATTTAGGCTATGTTGTAAAATTAAAATAGTTCAAATTAGATAATTATGTTAGATTTATTGCTTTTAGGATTTTGTCAATATTAGACAATTTAATAAATGTGATATAAAATAGAAATTTGAAATTAAAAATATTAAACATTTTAATTAAAATTAATAAATAATAAATTAATAAATAAAGTTGGTTGGCCGATATTAACCGACTAACCAACTTTTTAACATATTAGAAACCATTATCGACCCAACTATACATGGGTTGGTTGATATTATCGACCCAACTTAAATGGGTCGGTTGATGGTTGATTATCCATCACAAATTATGGGTCGAAAATGGGTTGGTTGGTGGTTAAAACCGATCCATGCACAGCCCTACCTGCAGTTAACTTATGTGCTTGAATCCGTTAGGCACACCCTTTGACTGACCGTA